GTCTGTTTGATTGGGAGTTGGGCTGAGGCGGTCCTGCTTTATCCGGTAGGCCAACATAGATGATGAGCAGTCTTGATAAGATGTAGGCCCTGCGAGGCGGTCCATTCATGCCAAAGGCTCGGGAGTGGTCCAGATAGGCTGTAGGCCATGCGAGGCGGTCCAGTCAGGCTGAAGGCTCATTATGCAGGTTGTCCTGTATTTATTGATATGATATGATTATGGTTGTGTAAGGGTGATATTTTGGGGGTTAGCTCACTAAGATTTCGGGCTTACAGTTTCAGTTTTTGTTTCAGGTACTTCGGGTGATCGAGTAAAGGCGAAGGCATGATCGTACCGCTCCTGCTGCTGCTATGTTTTTATGGTTGGAAAACCGGGATACTCTGATGATTATGATTTTAAAAACAAATTATGTAATGATTAAATGGTTTTTAATTGTGTTGAAAATTTTTAAATTGGTTTAAATTTTATGAGTGTTACATTAAACTTATCTTGGCTCTTCACTTCTAACCCGAAGGACTATAAATGATAAGGTAATGATAGAAGAGGGTTCGGGAATACCTGCCAAATCTCGGGATGTTACACTCAGAGTAATTGATTTGACCCTGTTGCACAGCTCTCGTTTGAGTCTAACCATTGCAGGGATGAATCTCCAACTCGAAGGATTATCTGAGCCTTTTGTCAAGCATAAGTGTTGTGTATCCATTTATGGTCAGTGACTTTGTTTCTATTGGCAGCATCAAGATAACCAGGATGTAAGTTTTTTGTTTAGTCTATTATTCGATGAGGACTTGGCATGGAGTTGTTTCTGCATGGGCGGTCTTTCGGGGAGTCAGACCAATGCAGATTCCAGGTTTCGGAAGGGTAGAAGTGGTTTCCTTCGGGGGCTAAGGGTTCATTTTTCTTCGGGTTGGAAGTTTCAGTTTGGGTTCGGATGTCTTGGGAAGGTCGTTATATGCTTAGAATTTTTGGTTGCATTCCTCGGGTTATTTGGTATGATCCTAGTGTTAGTAAGGATCGATTTCTAGGACGGAATCTAATTTAAGTATGGGAGAGTTGTAACACTCGATTTTGGATTTTCTTCATTATTTGGGGTACGACCCAATCTTCAGTTGTTATGAGGCTTAGGGAATTGGGGAAGAAAGGTTTTGGTCTTTTCTGATGTAGGTGTTATGGTTTAAGTAATCCAAGTGTTCGATTGTGTCTTCAGAGGTCAAGTGTATAATTGTAATTTGATAACTCGGTCTTTTATGGATTTTGGGTTTTGTTCGGGAAGTTTTAAGGCTATGGTGTGTCGTGAGAAGCGTAGGGATTCTCGGCACATTTTTGTGGATATAAGGTTCGTTGGAAACTGACCTAAAATAAAGAAGTTATGGCAATTTGAAGTATTTGGTAGAAATGGCCCTTGGTGGAAAATTTTGGCAAGCTGGTCCCATGTGTGCATGGTTTAGAGGGCACGTGCCTGGGTGAGTACGCCCAGCGTAAGTTGGGGCTACGCCCAACATAATGAGCAAGGTGCCAAACCCAAATTTTTAGAGTTTGGGCACTATTTAAAATCCTTATGACCTCAAGGCTCTTTCATTTCTCAGCCTTCATTGTCTTTGAGCCTCATTTCGGAAACCCTAATCTCATTTTGAGTGTTTGAGAGTTCTAAGTATGTATTTTGGTGTGTTTTACTCATTTTCAAGAAAAAGGTGCTTGGTTCTAGCTTGTGGTTCGAAGGAAAATTTTAGATCCATACTTTTAGCTTCATTCCCAGCTCATTCAAGGTATAAAGTTCTTATCTTGATTTCTTCTTATGCTAGCTTGAGTACAGGGCAAGATTAAGGGGTTTTTGGTGTATTAAGTTCTCCTTGTGATTTTGAGTCCTCCAAGAGCTTGAAGTGATAGATCTTGCCTATTATGATGTTTCTAGTTCAAAAAAATGCTTTCTTGATATTTAATATTGGTCCATGCATGATCTAGTTGGAATAGAATGGGTCTTAATAGATTAAGATGGTAGTTGGGTCCTATTGAGTCATGCAAATGCATAAAGGTGCCGACATTATGCATTAAGAGCTTAGATTGAAGGTCTTCTGAGTTTTTAATGCAAGGACTTAACAGATTAAGTCGTAGTTTGGGTTTCGGAAAAGTCCCGGTTATGCCCCGTGTAACTAATGGTATGCCCAACGTACCAAGCTAAGGTCGTGATCAGGATTCCTCGAGTACGCCTAATGTAGTTGAGCGTACGCCCCACGTTCGGTGTGGAGTTGTGGTTGGTGTGTTTTTGGGTTTCGAACCTTTGGGCCACTTTATTGAACTTGTTGTTTGGGCCTTTGGGCAATCTGAGATCAACTATTTGACTAAGGGAAGTTTTGGGCTTTAAGATAAGTCCCATATGGGGTTGGGGCCTAATTTGGAAAATTGGGCCGTTAATTGGTCTTTATGGATATTTTGGTTTGGGCCTTTTTGGTCTTGGGATTGGGCCTCAGTTTTGGCTCATGTTGGGTTAGGGTTAAAATGGTCATTTTACCCCAAGTGTGGATTTTGAGCCTTAAAATGGAACCCAATTGCTGATTGAGTATTATGTTGGTTCTAATAGCTCGGGGAGCCGTCAGGACAACAGCTGGGGATTTCTGTTAGTAAGCTTATGCATTCAAGGTGAGTCTTCTCACTATACTTACCTGTGTAGAAATTTAGGTGTGACTGGAGGGTCTTTCTTGCTTATACCGAAATATGTGTTATTGCATCTCTTCCTTTATCACTTATGCTGCTATATTATTTGAGTTGAGGCCAGAGGGTCCTTACTGAGACGAGAGACCAGAGGGTTCTCACTGAGACACGTAACTGGAGGGTCCTTATCGAGATATATCCACGAGAGGCTAATCATTTATGTATGTGGTATTTTGAGGAACTCATTAAGCTTTGTGCTTACAGTTTGTGGTTTTTGGTTTCAAGTATATCTGGTTCGAAAGGGAAGGCCCCGACTTGAGATACGAGAGACCGGAGGATCCTCGCTGAGACACGTGATCGGAGGGTCCTTATCGAGATATATCCACAAAAGGCTAATCATTTATGCATGTAGTATTTTGGAAACTCATTAAGCTTTGTGCTTACAATTTGTGGTTTATGGTTTCAGGTATATCTGGTTTGAAAGGGAAGGGCCCGACTTGACCGTTTCGCATACACACGTGTTTTCCGCATTATGTGATTTTGGGGAATGAATAATTGTTTTATTTTTTAATGCCTTTAAATGTTTGGATAAAGTTACATTAGTATTTTGATTATAATTTAAATGAAATTTTTTACTCGTGATTTTTAGGGTGTTACAGTCATTTAAATGATATATATAAAAATGACATTAAAATTATCAAACGTAGATGGAAAAAACACATGCACACTTCTCAGCAGCCCACTCTCTTAGGGCTTCTCTTTCTTTGGTATGCCACAATGGTGGGGTAATGTTTGCTGAGTACGCCATCATGTTTGTCGAGTATGCCATCATGGTGTTGAGCTCTTTGGCGCCCTACTCCACCAAGCATTATAAAATAAAAACTACGGTAGAGCTGTTTATGAATGTCTTCGTGGTGACCTTGATTTTACTAAAGATGATGAGAACGTGAACTTTCAATCATTTATGCATTGGAGAGACCGTTTTTTACTTTGTACCGAAGCTATTTTTAAATCACATGCTGAAACATGAGAAATCAAAGGGCATTACTTGAATGTTACTGCGGGTATAGAAATGATGAAAAATGTTATATTTGCCAGAGAATTTAAATATATATATATATATATATATATATATATATATATATATATATATATTTCCTATATATGATTCTACCAATTAAATAGTGATATGTGTAACATTTAATGTTCATTTAGTGAAATTTAATGATATTTTAAGATACTAATATGACACATGTAATCATTTAATTAGGTAGGAGAATTAATAGAAACAAAAGTAGCTTGATATTTAATTTCTCATATGTAAATTATTAGTTATTTCTATATTTTTACCTGACTCAACAAATTTCTTAGTAACAGTTTAATGATATTGTTAATTGAAAAAACCAAAGCACGTGGTTTTGACATTAGTCTAGAGTTTTTAAACTGAGATTGAAAATCTTTGTGTTTATCTACAAAGACAATATTTAGAATAACGCGAAAAGCTTCACTTGTGTTTGTTTTATAAATATATAATTTTTAAGTAATAATAGTTATCTAAATTAAAATATAATTTTGATAGTTTTTTTTGACTTTTAACAGGCACTTATGATATTATTGAACATAGATACGCAAATTAGCTTTTCAAGATTACGAATTAATTCTCTTGATTTTTTAAATGATTAACCAAAAAACTTAATAGTTTAATAATTTTCAAGAACTTATTTACGAGAAGAATAAAAAAAAAAATAAAGCCAAATATTTTGAAAAAATTATTTTGTTTCAAATGTTTTATAATTTATGAAATTTGACCTTTTGTAGAATTTTGAAGAAAAACTTGCAAAATTGTAAACATGTTGGGAAAATGACATTGTAGCACATCGAACTTTTTCCATTTGACCAATTTGGTCACTAAAGTTTTTTTTAGTCAATTAAGTTACTAAAGTCATATTTTACCTGCCAATTAAGTCATTTTCCTCGATTTTTAATGGTTTCACGATTGACTTTGTCTAGGTATAAATTACTTTCATTTAATAGTTAGTTTATGTAGTAAACATATTACACGTAGGATTTGCCATGTCAATTAATGATATAGGGGTCGATACTTAAACTCACTTGCTTCACCCGTCGACTTGTGTTCTTCATTTATCACCAAATCACGAAACTGAGCTATGGTTTTTCAAGGATATTTGTGGTTGAGCTAAAGAATCAAAGCAGTCGGTGGAATGGCACAATCGGAACCTAATGGATTTTTTGCGATGGTGGAACTCAACTATCAGGGGGTATTTACTTGAAATCCTTTCTCTTACACTGGTGGTGTCAAAACCATGTTTAATGATGTTGATTTTTCTTCAATGAAATTTTCTGAGTGTGTCACTTTCTTCGAACGTTTCATGCATGAGGAGGTTAAAAAGATGTACTACTGTGAACCAAGCCTTTCCCTGATGGATTGGCTTAATCCCATTTCAGATGATGTGGAATTCACTGCTTCTATATTTGATGCTTATGGAACAGATGGTGTAATTTCTGTTTATATCGATCATGTTGGAGTGGGAGTAGATGGGTGGTTTGATGATGAGGAGGTTGATGATGATCATGGGTCTTGTATTGATGGTGAAAATGAGGATAATATAGATGAACTTAGGAATGGGAATGTGGAATTCAAATGAGGATGTAGTTATTATGAATAGGACATCAAATGATCCTTTCCTGAGTAAGTTATGTGTTGATGAGGGTGAGGATAACAACATTGTAGATGATGATGAACCACCCATGCATGCAATTTTTAATGAGTTGATACACTAGAAAAAACAAAAACCAATTCTTGGAATGAGATTTAGGGATCCAGCCCAAGTTAAATCAGTGTTGTGTAAGCATGCAGTGGCTAATGGATATCAACTTTGTTTTGAAAAAATATGATAGGAAAATACTTTTGGTTAGGTGTAGTAAGGGTGCTTGCACATTTACACTATGGGCTTCTTGGATGAGTGATGAACAGAGTTTCCAAATCAAGTCACTAAAAATGATCATAATTGTGCTAGGAACTTCAAGTTAGGGTCACTAGTGACATATTCATGGATTGGGGCATATTATACCAAAGAAATTATGCAAAGTCAAAAATTGAGTGTAAGGAAGCTTAGGGTAAAGGTAATGACAAAATTTGGTATCCAAGTTAGTTGGGCCAATGCAGGAGAGCAAAGAAGTATGCACTAAAACTTATTGAAGGTAGTCTTGTTGAACATTATGGTAGGCTATGGTCATATGGTCATGAGATTTTGAGGACTAATCGAGGGTCAACTGTAAAATTAGATGTGGAGATTGGCCCAGATGGAAAGAAGTATTTTAGCAAGTTCTATGTTTGTTTTCAAGGAGTAAAACAAGGTTGGATGGAAGGATGTAGAAGGATAATATGTCTTTATGGTTGTTTTTTGAAAGGTGTTTATAAGGGGGAATTGCTTTGTGTAGTTAGGAGGGATGAAAATGACAAGATATATCCTATTGCTTGGGCTGTGGTATGTGTGGAGAACAAGCAAAATTGGAAGTGGTTTTTAGAACTTCTCATTGAGAATCTACACTTGAATTTAGGAAATGGATTCAGTTTAATGTCAGACCAACATAAGGTTAGTTTATTACATTGTAATTTAAGTATACTTAATTTACACTATTTGATTTAAATCTTCTTCTTTTTACAGGGTTTGATAGAAGCTGTTAAGGAGTTGTTTCCATATGTAGAGCATAGGCACGGATAAGGTGAATTTGCTTAAGATGGTCTAGAGGGATTATCAGGTACTGCCTAGTGGATTAAACCAGTTCGAGGTTAGGGGAGCAACAAATGCATATCAAGCGAACTTAGAAAGGAAAACATGTTCTTGTAGGTTATGACAATTGAATGGATATGGATGTGCTCATATTGTAGCAAGCATATCCTATCTTAATAGGGATGTAGAAGCCTATGTGGGCAACATGTATAGCACCACAACCTTTAGGAATGCATATAGTTACAGAATTGCCCCTATCAATGGGAGTGACATGTGGCCACATACCAACTATGATCCATCATTGCGTCCTATTAGTAAAAGGATGCCTGGTGGGCCAACTACTAATAGGAAGAAATCCACTACAGAGAATAAAGGAAAACACAAGGTTTCTAAGACAGGAAAGAAGATCAAATGCAGTATATGCAAGGAGATAGGTCACAATAAGGCTACTTGTCCACAAAGAAGACCCTAAGATGTAAATGAGGGGAAAAAAAAGAAACAAAAACTTTGTCCAAGGAATAAAGCAGGACATGTAAAACCATTTTCTATTTAAAGTATTTACATGTGCTTATCCACTTACATGATTATTTTCTATAATGTAGGCTAGTACAAGTAAACCTCAAGAACATGATGAGGTTGAATTGACTCTAATTCAGGTGGATACTACTCAAAATGATTTCCAGGATACTCTTAATGATTCTAAATCTAGTAGCGCACGGGGAAGTGCTCAGTATATGCACATGACTCCTCCTAGAAGTTATGATGTTGAAGATTTTGTTTGTGAGTATGTTGAGGTTGAAAATGTTGAAGGTAGTCAGGGTGAAGCAAATGGTGTGGTTGAAGATATTCAGCGTGAAGCAAATGGTGTGGTTGAAGATGGCCAGGGTTAAGCTAATGATGTTGTTGAAGATGGTCAGGGTTAAGCTAATGGTGTGTTTGAAGATGGTCAGGCTATAGTTAATGTTGTGGTTGAGGAAGTTGTTGAGGTTCCTATTGTGTAAGTGCAGCAAGTTAGACCAATTTTAAATATATTGAAGAGGATAAGGAGAAGAAATTCAAAGAGAAATTGAAGATGAAATTAGGAAAGACAGTTGGTGGTGTTGATGACCCTGGAAATTCCAAGGGAAAAGCTCTTATAATTTATTAGGATAGGGTGTTATGGTTTGTGTTTTTGTAATATTGATTTAATGTAAGTCTATTAGGATGATGGTAATTTTGACTTTGTGTTTGTGTAATATGGTAATTTTTGGCAACTATGATAGTATGTTGCCATTTTAAGCTAATTGAAGAATGTTGTCTTTTAATGTGTTTAGCTATAAGAAAAGGTGATGGCTTTTTATATATTCTGCATGGAATAGTTTGGAATTATATGCATGAATGTTAATATGGTATATGGTACCAGATATATTACTTTAATGGGTTGAAAGGTCCTATTTCCCTATAATAAAAGATCCACTATGTATGCAAATGGTCCCCATACAATTGGTAATTTTACAAGGACGATTGCAACCAATATAATTATATTCATATAGGGAAATCAAACCATACATGCATGTTTCCTTTGAATAACATAAACAATTCTATTAGCATAAACAATTCCATTCCACTATCCACATAAACTTTCCATTCCAGTTATATATCGTTGGGAATTTACATTAAAGCTAATTATCAATTGTCATTGGGATTTTACAAAAGATACAAAATGCAACACATTACCACTTTAGGATGACTTTACAAAAGATACAAAAAATCTTCACATCCCAATACATACACCTTACACTAACAGCTACACCAAAAGCTTCACATCCCAACACTAATTAGACAACTTAAAAACAAAACAAACATACCCAATAACTAGAAAAACTACCAACAGCTTGCACATAAGTATGCTCTTCTTGGAATCACACATCGCCTTCTCCATGCTTGTCACTAGACTCTTCTCCTTATTCAGGAGAAACTCCAACTCAACATATTTAGTCCTTAAGTTTTTTATGACACCAATATCCTTTTTGGAATTTAACTGCTACTTCATGGAATAGATGAGATTTTTATAGTAACCATCTTCCAGTGCAACATCTTTCCATTCAAAGAATGGGTGGTGGACCAAGTCATAACATAGCACGGAATTATTCAAACCGGGCATGCGGAAGACTTTTAGTGAAAATATTTGCCGCCTGAAGCTTGGTGGAAACGAACTTGGTGTAGAGTTTATCAGAAGCATCTAATTCTCGAACAAAGTGATAGTCTAGATCAATATGTTTGCCTCGTTTATGGGAGACTAGATTTTGATTAATGATGAGAGCGCTTTTGTTGTCACATAACAGAGTTGGTCGATCCGAAGGTAGGGGATGTAACCCACGTAAAAGGTGAGTGATCCACACTATCTCAGTTGTAGTGTTAGCTACAACATGATACTCTGATTCATAGCTTGATCTTGAGATAGTGGGTTGTTTCTTTGCATTCCAAGAAACCAAGTTTCCATCGAGAAATATGTAGTAGCCATAAGTGGATCGACGTGTTTCAAGGCAACAAGCCCAATCAGCATCAGAGTAGCCTAAGATGTTATTAGTATATGGACGGCGAAAAATAAGACCAAATGAAATAGTGCCCTTGACATACTACAAGTTTTGTTTTACTAATTGAAAGTGAGCATGAGTAGGAGCATGAAGATATTTACTTGCTTGATTAACAACATACGATAAAACAGATCGAGTAATAGTTAAATGTTGTAAAGCTCCAACTAATGAACGGTTGAGAGTAGGACCAAAAAACAATGGTCCATTTGAAGTAAATGTATCACAAGTAGCTATCAACATGGGAACTGGTTTGGAATCAAGTAAATCAGCTCGACTAAGGACACCCTTAGCATATTTGGACTGCCATAAAAACAAACCATCATCGGTAAAGCCGACCTCCATGCCAAGAAAAGATCTTTGATAACAAATTATTCATTTAAAAGAGTAGTAAAAGAAATGATTAGCGATTCTTGATTACCAGTGAGAATGAGATCATCTATGTAGACCAACAAGTACATAAAATAAGAGTATTTAGCATAGATGAATAAGGAGGTGTCTATACGATTGCAACTGAACCCGTTTGAAAGAAAAAATTGAGCTTAGATGATGATACCATGCTCATGGGGATTGTTTTAGTCCATATAGAGCTTTGGACAACTTGCAAACATGATTAGTTGTAACATCTTGATTTTCAGGTATTCCATTTATACCCTCGATATGGAAAATTTTGGAAAAATGGGCCCCTTGTAGTGTTTTGGAGAAAATGCGAATTCTAAAGGATGCTACACGTCCATTATGGACGCTATGCGTTCTTGTCCTGGACTCAAAACTCTAATTCTTAGGGTTTGGATCCTATTTATTCATCCTTAAACCCCAAGACTTCTTTCTCTCATCAGCCTCCAACCCACTTTCATCCATAACAAACTCCAGTCCATTCTTGAGCCATTAAAATGTATTTTTGTGATCTTGAAGGAAGAAGAAAGAAAAGGAGACCATCTTAGAGAAGTGAAGCAACTTGGATCTAGAATCTCATCATCATTTGGTATCTCTTGGAGGTAAAAAGCTTTGAGCTTGATGAAGTTATACCTAGATCATGTTTAGACATGGTTTTATGCTAATTTTGGTCCCATAAGCTTAGTATTATGAGTATGAGTTACTCTAATTCATATAAACTATCCTTTCAGATGTTTTGGAGTGTTTATAAGCACAAAAATGCAATCTTGATTGTTAGTTTCCCTCCATCCATGATCTACGTTGTATTCATGAGTTAAGAAGTTAGGTTTTTTGTTATTGGGAACTTAATAGTCGCGCTATACCATAAAGTTGGAAACTTTATGGTTAAGGACATCATTTGAGTCCTAGATCTAGAATTTGGATGAAAGAACTTAAGGACTAAGATATTAATAGAATAAAAAGGAAGCAACTAGAGAAAATTATGCATCCACTTAGAATGCTAATCGTCCATGGTCTGTTTCACATTCTAAACAAATGCATGAGGACCCTATGTGTCCGTTTTAGATGCTATGATTTCTCAGCTGAGTTGACTCTATTGAATTTTTGACTTGGACCAGATTTTAACCAAGTTTGACAAAAGGGTATTTTGAGTTGTAGTCTAAGTTTTGGTCATTGTTATTTGTAAAGGTGACCGATAAAGTTGGTTACTGGAGCAACGTGTTGTTTCAAGATTTTCGTTTGTCTATGAGATGAGTCTCCTCACTGCATCCAGGGGCCAAAGGCACCAATGCTGAACTGTTATTTGTTGTATGGAATGCTAGCTGTTATGTATCAGAGCCATGGTTTGAGGGATTCAGACACAATTTCGTTTGTGTTAGAGCTCAAACTGAGGAAATGAGAATCTTTTAAAAAGAAAAGAAATTACATTTCTAAAAATATTTTACTAAGAAGAAAAGGGTACGATGTGTGCGATTAGCTGAGCTCAAGTAAGTGGTTCCAATATTACACTTACCTATGTATAATGATAAGTATGCTTGATATGTGAATTGCATGCTATTTTTAGGAATCATATGATAGAATTATCGGATTTGTGTCATACCTTATAGCCTAGGAGGAATGGATGGTATTTTTTACTTGGAATGGATATTGGCTCAATTAATTGCTAAGTTTATGCTTTTAAAGTTGTATACAATTAGGATCATATAGCCCTAGAATGATCAATTTAGCCTCATTTTCTATTCCTTATTTGGTTGTGGACTTAGGTTAGAATCATCATTTGACAGTCTATATGATTTCATTGTGTGTATAACATGCTTGTATAAGGCAACCAACATTGTTGATTGAGGTTCTCGGTATTGTAAGGGGTGGGAGTTGAGGGTTCCTAGGAAGGTCTAGGATATGTATGCTATTTAGCGTAGGATTCATATATGGTTCTAGTATGGTGACTTAAAGGAATTAGGAAAACTCTTAAGGATGGTACAGATAAGTGTGAAAGGTAGTATTGGGCCCGTACTACTAGAAACATAGAATCTATACTAAACACAAGAACATAATGGGGACTCCAAGGGTACCTTTTTTGTTGCGAGTTCCCTCGAGTTTATGCTGATTGTTTATATGTTTGTATTTCAGCTTAAGTATGGTGATGATCACTCGAGGAGAAGGTTCTAGTTCTGATTTTGGTTCAGGTTCTGGCTTAGGCATATAACTAATTGATGAGAGGTTGCACAAGTTCATTGCGGCCGAGGTTACTCGTGGTATCTTGGATTCTACTCCTATGATGTTTGGTACCATCAAGGAGGGGATTATGGAGCTTATGGATGGGTGGATCAGGTCCTTTCAAGTTGAGATTGCTGCAGGTCAGATTGGAGTGTGAACTCCCTACTTTTGGGAGTTCATGACGTGTAGAGCTCCAGAGTTCTTAAGGGCTAAGGACCCTATCGCTAGCTGAAGCTAGATCGCTAACACGGAGAATACGCAATAGAAGAGATTTTTCCCTAAGGGGGTAAAGGTGGGATTCACATCCTGATTGCTGATGGACTGAGCTCACGACCGGTGGGATGAGGTAGGGCGAGCTGTAGGCTTTGCGGTTGTGACAATCGTGACTTGGTAGGAGTTTGTTTCGAGGTTCCATAGGGAGTTTGCACTAGCAATCGAGGTGTAGCAACTGGCGAGGGAGTTTCAGGACCTTTTCCAGACTATTGAGTTGTGGCGGAGGTTACCGCTACGTTTCGTGAGAGGGCTCTATTGGTTCCACAGTACACTACGGATGAGGAGATGAAGAAGACGAGATACCACAACATGTTAAGGGATGATATCAGGAAGTTTGTGAGCTTTTCGGGCTACAAGATCCTGAATGATATGATTGAGAAGGCCCATGAGTGAGAGATTGAGTCGGCTCTTCGGACGAAGCGCAAGCCGGA